CAGGTTTGAGAGTAGGAAGAAGGAAGGGAGAGAGACATGTAAATGCTAAAATGAGGTAAGAAAAAGAGGCTGGGAATCCCCAGCATGGAAGATGCAATTTTTCAAGCCCTAAGCACTGTGGCTTAGGACAAAGCACACAGAGCAGCTCAGAGCACACAGTGGTGCTCAGAAGCAAGTGTCCATCTGCTCAGAACGAATTTGTGCTGCAGGCTTACTATGCTTTTGCTAAGCACACACACACATAAACAAAAATCAACATGCTTTAAAAACAAAATAATCAGTCACAAGTGCAAGAACTGTTCCTAAACACATCTTGTTCTTTAAAAACTCTGCACAGGGATCATTATTAACTGAAATGCAAAGGTGAAGACCATGGGTGCATTCCTTCTCACTGGGTTAATATGGATAAAAACATCTCTTTCACAACTGTATAGCCTCTAACAGTTTAGGGATGGTTAGCCACAAATGCTATAAAAAGAATGAGGTCTTGAAATAGCAGACTTCCTTTTTTTTTCCCCTGTGCTCCTTTACTGGTATATACCAGGCTTGCTTCTCAACTGATGCATATCACCATACCTCTGCTAATACCAAACATGTGCCAGTTTACAGCCTTCTGAAGATCTGACCCCTCTTTGCTGTCCTGGAAACAGATCTGTGGTCTCTGCAGAAAGTAATATTATTTTATACAGACACAGATGTAGGCGTCCTGCCCCCACTAGCTCATATTTAACTCTCTTTTCATCCTGTTTATTTTGTCTTCATGGTATCCAAAGTAAGCTGCATACCCAGCAACAAGCTTGGAGCAAATAGGTACATCTTATTTTCAGTGGATTGCCCTTCACAGTGCACATACTACACCCTCGAGGGATTTATGAAGAGGATCAGGTCAAAGCCTCTACAATTTGAATTTTTATTTGTGTGTTAGAGGAATTATGCTTAAACTTGTTTTTCCCAGTGCAGTTAGAGCAGACACAGGGATTCAGAGGTAGAATGGGAAGATGCAGCGTGTGATGACAGTAATCACCACTCAGTACCTTGTCTCTCTGCTTCTCCAGAGACAATAAAAGGCTGTGCACTCCCTTTCCCTACACCCCAAAACCCCAGACAGAGGTGAGGAGAGAAATAACCTGTGTATCCTACCCTCTACAATAACCAAGACTAGAGGTTTCTGCTTGCCAGGCTGTGAAATGGGCCAGGTGCCTCTTCTCACTTGGCACCATCTCCACACTGAGATAACAGTCAAGAAAGACCTAGAAAGTCCTTTAGCAAACACATAAGGATGGTCCTGGAGGTAAAAAAAGAGATGACAATCCATGACTCACTTCAGGCACTGTCTTCTGAGGACACTTGCCTGGAAGTGCCATCTCCACAATGTATTCAGGCAGAGAAGCAGTGAGATCTCCTGAGGCAGCTCTGAAACAAATTCCGCTGGACACAACACAGCAGGACAACATGATCAGTCAGACCTACCTCTCCTCTGGGCTCCTAATTCCCAGCACATTGCTGGTGCTAGACCACTTCCAGCACCTAGTCTTATATTTCTGCACCACACTGCAGCCACTTGCTAGCCCAGCAGTGCCTCGGCTTTCTCCATCCCCTTTATGCCCTCCCATCCTGCCAAGATACCCACTGTGCAAAACAGACAGACAAAAATCACAGCAAACTCGGGGGTATCCTCAAGTGAAACACTCGGAGCCACCAAAATACTGCTGTACACCCAGATGGACTAACCCTGTTCTCTCTCCTTACTGACTATCACAAGGTCACCGTGCTTTGCGTTTTTAGCTGGAGTGCCAAAAAGTTGGAACTGTGCCTGTCATTTATAGCACCTCTTCTCAGATGGCTCTCACATGTCTTTATAAACTTTGGTAAATGAGTATATAAATCACTCTGTCCACCACCAAAGTACAGCCATCTCTGGGATGATACACAGCAGCTGCTGTAAAATCATACCGCAGCTCTACACCACAGATTAGGGTAATAAAACATGCTGCATGAAGCAACTGAAATGGTTGAAGGAAGGAAGGGGATGTGGTGGAGAGCATTTTGTAGTTATAATTACCTGAGTATAAATTTGGCTGAAGAGGGTACTGTGTTTAATACTTGCATATCTGCAAATCAAATCAGTCTTCTACCACCTGTCAAAACAACCTGACTGTATCATTCCCCGTGTTTTGGCCTTCTAAAGCCCTTCCTTTCTGAAAATTGCAAAGCACCTTTATAAGAGCAAAGCTGATGTGCTGAATACAAGCAATAACCTAATCAAATTTCTTAGCAACTGACTTGATAACTAACTGTGAGCCTGTAGCTTCTATGTCCTCTCCCTTCCTCTCTCTTGCATGACAACTGAACATAGCATCTATATATACCCAGTTCTAAAATAGCTTCTGCTCCCGTAACTTGCAAACCGTTCACATAGATCTCATTTTCTAGGCTAAAAGTAGTTAATTACAGTCACTAAGGGGACTGAACTGCTGCACTCTTTTCCTTATTCTGGGATGGGCTCTTTGAGTAGTGTATTGCCCCTCTGCTCCCCTGCCAAATCATGAACTGTTTATAAAAGGAAATCTTTTGAAAGACGGGGCTGCACAGATCAGATCTATGAATTTCCTTGTATTAGGGACTGCAGGTGAATAGTTATCCTTCTCTCCCTCTTACCCTTGGCCATGCAGCAAAATATGCATCAGCTAAAGCTAAACCTGAAAATTCATAAAGTACAGGGAAGTTATTTGAAAGATACTTCCAATAATTATATGTGATGTAGGACAGCATGGTTTGGGATGAGGACACCAGTTTGGGCTGAGGCACCACACAGACTGTATACAGTGCTGACCTGAAAAAATTATTAGTTTACTTTGAGTGCCATCTCTCTACACATTACCACAAGTGTCCTTAGGTCTCCCAGATAGTGCAAAAGCTGAAATCATTAGCAAAATATTTCTAGAGAACCAAGAGAGTCAAGAACTGTGCATTTGAGTTGGATTATTACTGAAATATTACTAATGGTGAGTGACAGCTCACTCAGACCATACACAACACAGGTTCCATTTAGTTCTTGAGCTTGGATCAGGAGCAGACTCACAGCCGAATCTCTTGCACTGGTTCACACTGCAGTCTCCAAGTACGCAACAAGGGCTCCTTTAACTAGAACTAAACCAGACCAACTGCTTAGAGGAATTTGGTACACAGAGCCAGGCTTAGACTAACCCAAAATAAACTCCTGAGGTGCACAGATTGTGTGTCCAACAGTTCTCACTACCAGCCGTGCTAGAGGACGAATCTGTCTATGGGAGCATGCTACTACTTAACGTGGACATGGCCATATGCATGGACTCCCTACATGAAATATCCATAAACAACCAGCTAGTTAATTACTGTTTGCAGTCAGCTTTCTATGCACTTACATGGAAAAGGTCACTAATTCAGATCACCATCTACAGACAGACATGAATGGTATCACGAACTTATCCTACTGGATACCTCTCCCAGCAATTTCACTTTGGTTTCTTAGGCTGTCAGCTTCCAGGAATTGGTGAGGAGATGAACCATATTTTCCCTGGGATTGAATAATAAGTGCTTCTGTGTGCAACTCTGCCACCAGTATTAACCAGCAAACTTCACATCCTCCAGGCCAAGTTGCACCTTCCCATCTTTGCAGGCCTGGAAGTCAGTTGACCTAACTATACACGAGGGCACAAATAGGTCTGCCACATGTGAATGAAACAAGTAAATACATTCCAGCTGCACTGATGGAGAGCTAACAACCTAAGGATATAACCCAAGCCCTACAGTCAGAACATCAATGCTTTTGTGGTATCAAGTTAGCTCATATCAGCGGTAGGTATGAAGCATGCACTGAAAAAAAGCTCTGTGGAATTGACTGCACAACCCTAACCTCCACTGCTGTCATCCATCTGCAACCTCAGAGCAATGGCAGTCTTAGGTGGAGAACCACTATGCTCAGAACCTCACCGTGAAAGACAACTGGCGACATTTTCTGTGTATACAAACCCTGGCTTTTATGTTTCCACAAGAAAAAGGAGGGAAACAGCAGCTTTTGAATGGACAAACTGTGCATAGTCGAGAATTTTTTACCACGAGCAAAGCAGAAAATTATACAGCTCTTTTCTTGTTCTGTAAGTACAACACAGAATAGAATGCATAAAAGTATGAAACCCCAAAAACTGTATAGTAAAGGCTTTCAGCATGCAAATCCCCCAGCTAAAATCCTCTGAGACAGCCATGCCTGGTGTAATTTTATTCCTGTTAGGCTCATGTTCTGCTATAAAAGCATTTGTGAAAAGAAGAAGACCCTCAATCTGAATTATCATAACCACCAACTTGGGCAGAGAGCGTAGGGTGGAAGAATGGCTGCTGCATGGTCTGCTAATTTTACCAAATATGGTCAATGGTTATCCAGGAAACATAAATGCCCTTAGCAAATACAGATAGTGAAGGAGAAGCAGTTTGAACACAGTATAAGAGAATTAAATATTGAGATTTTTTTTTTTTAAGCTTACACATATATTCTGCTGCTAAAAGAAAAAAATTATGAACATTTAAAGCAAAACTTCCCAGTTTACGGTTTGTAAGAACAATGTTTATTTTCCTACAAAGACCAGTAAATAAAATTGAAAACAAAACCAATAAAAGTATTTGTATAAGAGATAAAAATAAAAATGTTTTAGTTTTAGAGCCTGACAACAGCTGGTTGATTTAAATAATGTAAAGTACTTTTTAAAAGCTAAGCTTTTACTATGACACAAAGTTTCTAGGCCATCTCTTGTGTTGCTGTAAAGTGATATAATGAACAGCTTCCAAAAAAACCTAAACTATAGAGATTTTTAATTATTTACTGGAAATATTAATGAAGTGTTAATATATGCATCTATGGCTGAGACAAATAGGGGTCATGGAGGTGCCAAGTGGCATGACAGCATTCACACTGCCTTGATCCCTGCAGGAAGCTCCACACCATAGTCACAGGACATCATACTCACGTGTTTCGCAGAGAACTCATCAATCTCCTGAAGCACCTTCTCCTGGCACTCTGGGTTGGTGGCTAGCAAGTACGTGGCAAAGGACAGTGTGCTAGTGGTGGTCTCATAGCCAGCAATCAGGAACAGGAAAGCTTGGCCTGCAATCTCATCCTCTGTTAACGTCTTCTGAACCTTTTCAGATGGGGCCCTGCCAGGAAGAGGTGCCTCATTCTGTCTGGAAGCGGCAGATGGGCTGATCACATCAGAGCACCCGCCTGCCAGGGAGTCAGCTGAGTCACGGGAGTCAAGCATCCACTGGAGAAAATCCCTGCGCCTCTGCAGAACACAGGATGAGAAGAAACATGAATGGGTCACAGAAAAAGGCCTTTACCCACAGGGAATGGCAAGAGAGAGCTGCTTCCTATTTGTTCTGCACACTTGGATCCCACAAAACGGCCACCAGTCTTTCACTGAATGAGAAGGCTTCTACAAATCAGCTGGAAATACCATAACCAAGAACCTGTCACTGCTTTCTTCAGAGACGTATGAGACTGATCTGCCCCCAGTACACAACAGGTACATATTTTCACAGATGATTGTTAATGGTCAGTTCTATACAGAGCTACTTTCATTCTCAGGGTGGGCTTTTGGCACTTGCTGTAAATCAGGGGATTGACATAGACACTGTAAATGCAGTTCCAAGGGCACCCGCCAAGTGGAAGTGACACAACGCATTCTAGGAGGAGTTGGTCCGCCTGCTTGGGTACACCACCCTCATTTGTTCATATGGTCCAAAGCATGAAAGTCGCCATCTAAGTTCAGTATTTTCTTACCAGTTTTACCTGACAGGACTAAAAACTAATCTCAGTAAACTGGGACACCTTTTTATGACTAAGTACACATATAAGCATAGCTTTATGTTACCAACATAATTTTGGGCTTTTTAAATTTTTAAAAACATACTTGCAGAACTGTATTACGACAGTAAGTATTCCTCTACCATAAAACCTGCTTGGGTGGTTTGTATTTGCAAAATGCCCATGGAGTGATCCTACTGCTATGAAAACTGCTTTCTTTTACACTGGTTTCTGACACAAAACCTCTAATAAACAGACCTATGTACAAGAGTAAGCTGACTCCAAACCAGTCAGGACAGCAAGCTTGATTAGGCTCTGAAATATAACCCAAAAGGTTTGAATTGACTTTTGCGAGTGGGCATAATAGAATTGTGCTGAACCCAAGCCATAAGGCTGTGTGATTGATTTTCAATTCCTCAAATACCAACAGAATACACGATAGCTCAAGGACTTGAAAGTGACTGCAGTGCCAGAACATGACGACTTGTGCAGTGAGATGGACAAAAGAAGGGACCAAGTCTTTCTTCAAAAGAAAAGAACATGCTGTAAAGCTGCATTGCTCTGCTAAAAATAAATAATTTGAATGATTTCTTGTATCTGATTATTGAGAGATAAAGTAGAAAAAAGAGCCAGACAAAAGGACAGGCAAACAAGATAAGAATAAGGAAGAACTAATTAATTATAAATGTCTAAGGACTTAATCAGATTATTTATTTTTCTCATGACATGGGGAAAGAGAGCAGTTAGACAACAAAACAGGAGAAATACTCAGTGTCCTGTGCTTAGTTCTGCTGCCAACAAACTGTTCTGATCGATCTACAGGCAGAGAGGAATGGTTATTTTGGGGTTTGAGTAACACAAGGGGTTGGCACACTGCCTCTTCAACACTCCTTCCCTCCACTTCACAGAACCTTTTCATTTTGCATGTGTACATTATGCACCTTGTACCCACGGCCATAGTGCATCTTGCACCCTGGTACACCCAAAAATCAATGTTCCAGGTAGCAGCCAGTGCCAGTCACTGCATGCTGAAGGATTCTACACATTGGCCAGCCAGAATCACAGCACGGCAGATATGTTTTTCCACCAGTACGTGGAGGCACACAAAGCAATGTTATACACACTGTGCTCAGCAAATGAGCTCCAACTCTGAAAATACTTCCCTGTGCCTAGACTTAGGCACAATTTCCACCAGCATAATAGGATACTTCTGCTCTATTATGTTCTTCTAGATTGGAGGAAACAAGACTTCATGCAGACCTCAGCTGTGAATAACTAAAAATCTCATTTAACTTTTCCAGGAAGGGCTTTATTCACATCCTGGGAGTCCATGTATTGCACAACTCAGAGTCCAACTCTTTGGCATAGTCTGTGCTTCAGGGATTTCCCTGGAATGCATATTTGCATTAGGCCATTTTTAAAATTAAAAAGAACCACCAACAAACACTCCACACTAAAAAAAAAAAAAAAAAAAAAAAAAAAAACAAACCCCAACAACAAAACAAACAGCCAAGAGAGTCCAGATCCAGTGTATTCATTAGTGCGTGGATAAACTAGTTCAATGTAGTAATGACCCACATCTGTAATGACATTCTCTTTTATTTGTAAAGCCAGTCACCATTACCTTAACAACTTTTATAACACAAAAATGTAAAATTACATTCATATTCAGTGGGGTTGTAACACTGTAGTATTCTATAGCTCAAAAGGTATAATATTTGGTATGGTTCTGCAACCATCCTTCTCTAGCTGTGAATTTTCTTGTAAACAAACCCATTGCTCTCTGAGGGCTTGCAGTTCCCAGTCACGAGCTGTTAGCCAAGTCTGGTCTTATATTTAGACAATACACTCTCTGGAGACCCCAAAAGATGTTTCTCCAGCCTTAGACAAAATCAGGTTCTGGCCTTATACGAAGCATGATTATTGCTATGATAGTAAAGTAATAATCATAATGACTAGAGAATAAAATTTCATTCACAAGAATTTTTGCTGAAAGCAAACTTAATGAATACTAGCATGAGTGAATATTCCCAAGAATGTGCTCTGAAATGCCTCTGTGGCCATTTTGAGGAGCTCTTTTTATTACTCACGTAATATATTTGGTTAGGAATTTAAAAGCTTGTCTTGTTGCAGAATCTGTTTTTAAGGTCACCCTATAGAGAAACGACTAGATACCTTATCTGTGCCATGTAATATGCTCACAGGTGAGCAGGTACTGCTAAGAGCAATGGCTTCATAAACAGCCTTGCAAAAACAACATTCATCTGTAAAAACTACTTGAATAATACCAGGAAGAAGAAAAGCATAACATTAGAAAGACACAAGCTTTTTCCAAGATAATTCTACACAGTGGAAGGAGTGATATTTTAGCAAAGCTTCTCTTCCTTATGCATCATTCTACTTCACTTTATGCATCAGTATAGAATGCAACATAAAAAATAATCATCAACCCAAGCAAGAGAAGACATTTCCAGAGATATAACAAGTCATAATGAAACATATTTTTTTCCGCACCATCAGGACGGAAAAATCACTCTGATTCAAAAACCTAACAATAACAATAGAGGCAAATACTAGCATAAAACCAAATATAATTGTATTGTTAAGTACTAGAAATGAGGAAAAGGTATCTCATGAAAATTCATAGGAGGGGTTTCTCCACTTGGGTTGCCAGCAGAATGAGAAAAAAGTTTAAAAAGGCATTTCTTTCAGTTTGACAACAGACCAGGTACTGACAGTGTCACTGCACAAAAACATTCTCTGGTCATCACATCCAGCTGCTGGCTTCCTTTTTTCTATTAGGGACATTTGTTTGATTTTCCTCACAAAAAGCAGAAGCCCATAATAGCCTCTATCCTGTCCTCTGACACTTGCATAGTTATGTTACAATGGCCTCAGAAACAAGTTCCTACCACAAAAGTACGGTGTGCTAACGCAATGGACTCTTCTTTTGCCCTCATACTACACAGAGCCTGTCATTAAGCCAATGATAATTGAATGGAAAGCTATGATTTGAAAAAAAAAAAAAAAGTAATTTGAATGCAGTACGGGACAGGGTGCATGTCTGACTTGATGGTGACACAGACATACCCTTTGAAATATATAATAAGACAAGCCCCGCTTCCAGCTTCCCCAAGATAGACACCTTGCAATATATTTCCTGACACCAGTGTTCTGGGCTGTATCATTTCTCTCATTAGTCTCCTTAAACATCACCTGGCCATGCAGAGAAATCACTCTGCACAGAACCGTAACGAGCGCTGTGCTACGCGCTGGAAGAATAGACGTGTGCTGTGCTGGGGAAGGCCAATCCACAGCATCCATCTCCCCTCCTCAAATCACTGCCTTTAAGTTTTGCAGCTGTCAGAAGGAGAGAGATGTATCCCTCACACGCGAGATGCATCATGACTTTCCTCACAGGAGGCAAGCGTCCTGGGGGGTGGGGGAATGTCTCCAGCTCTTTCCATCCTAAACAGGGAACTGTGTTTTCATACCTAAGACTGACACGCCAGCTGACCTTCTGGCAAATTCACCACTGCTTTGGGGGTCCAGGGGGCCTTTGGGTTATGTTTTCGGTAGAGAGATTAAGCCATTCAACTTCTCTGCAAGGTGAAGTCAGAAATTACTAAGGAAAACTACCAAATCAGTTGGAATTTTTGTTCTTAATGCTGTGATTTCAATTATGTTTTCTTCAAACTATGCTCAAATTTTGCACCACTCTGATAGTTTAGCTCCTCATTTTGAGTTCAAAAGAGCCACAAAAAGCAACTTTAAGTTGAATCAAGGAATAAAAATAAATGACATAATTGGCTAGTACTCTGTAAAGCACTTGCTGTGGTGCAATGAATTCATACAATGAATGCTATATGGTAATATAATACCACTCACAATAAACTGTACAGACCCTCCTAGTCTTTCTCAAATGCTCTGAGGGCAGCTCAAAAAAGATAGGCTTCAGAATCCTTATCTAACAGGTAAGAAGATCACATCTCACATTATTTCAGCAAACTTGTACACACTGCTATATCAGTGTATATGCAGGTCACTTTTTATAAGCTTGATTTGTCAACCATCTTTTTAAGTGAGACAACCTCTGTCACCAGGAAGTTATCAGTAAAGCACTGTTGTAGCTACCCAGGTCCTTTTGAAAAAGAAGCAAAAAAAGTATTATTTTGCCAAACTTCTTTGGAAGGATCAAATTCACACTCTCTGTAACACTTGCAGGTATCCTTCGGTTTCTCAGGGAAATCACAAACAAAACAAAACAAACAAACAAAAAAACACAAACACAAAACAAAACAAAAAAAAATAAGCCAGTTTCTCTGACAATATATCCAATTCCAAAACCGTTCAGAGAGTTTTTCCTTTTGCCTTGTGTTTGAACACAAAAGCTCGAATCAACTGGAAAGAAGGAGCTGACAGCCCCCACATTTGTGCGTCTGAAGGTTGAGGACAAGGTGCTCTCACAGGTGATGCTCA